ATTAGTTTTCTTTAGCTTTTCCTCATCTTTTCCTTAGCTTTTCTTCGCTTTTCTCAGCTTTTCTTGCTCTTCTCCTGAGCTTTCTCAGCTTTTTCTTAGCTTTTCTTAGTTTTTCCTTAGCTTTCCTCAGCTTTTCTTTGCTTTCCTCAGCTTTTCTCAGCTTTTCCCTAGCTTTTCTTAGCTTTTCCTTATTCGTATTCGTATTCTTATTCTCATTTCAATTCTAATTGGGATGCCACCCGAGGCGGGGCGCTGGAATTATTTATTTTCCTTCCATTTGCGCGGTGCTAATAATATCGCTCGGCGAAAACCCCCCCAAATAATTATTTAATTACGTCGCGGTGCTAATGATAACGCCGGGGGGTTTCTTAATTGCTTCTTCCGGTTATGTATGTATGCATGCATGCATGCATGCCTGTATGTACGTATGTAGGTGTGTACGTGTGCATGTGGTTGTGTGTATGCGTGCATGCACATGTATGTATGTGTATAGTTATAGATGTGTGTATGTATGTCTGTATGTACATACGTAGGTGTGTATGTATGGATATGTGCGCGTACGCACGTCTGTCTGTCTGTATGTATGCACAGTACATATATGTGTACACATGTATGTGCATATATGCATATGTATGCATATAGACATATACATCTTGAGACTCCCATGTGTAAACGCTGCTTGTGCTGAGAAGGAGCCTCTATCGCCGCTTTGCGCTGCGCAGGCGTCAGGATGGCCAATGGATACGACATACTGCTCACTGCGCGCAGGTCAATGGCCTTGCCATCGCAATGCGATCCCAAGATGTGCTGACAAAAACCTCTCCCACTCTGTAAACAAATGTGGTCCACACGGGATCCTTGCAATCCGACCGCCGACCAACCACATCATTAGCTCTGCAACGCTTGATGCGTGAATGCTGCGAGCAGAAGCCCTCGCGCCGTGGTTTCCCTCAAGCGCTCTGGAGATCGAAACGGTCTCATTGGGTTGCAAGCCGCGATGCGCCTAGCACACGGAAAGAATGTGAGAGAGAGAGAGAGAAAAAAAAAAAGAGTGGCAGAGAGAGAGCGGTGGGGAAGGACGACGTGGAGGGAGGGAAGAGCTTCTGGAAACTGCAATGGGGGAGACCAGTCTGGAGGAGAGGACGAGCAATGCGAGGGGACGAGAGAGCACGAGCTCTAGAACGAACGAGGGACGGGCGTGCGCAGCGGGGAGGGGGGATGGATGGATAAGCTGCTTCCGAACGCGTTCCGCACGGCGTCTTAGCAACCTGCGCTCTCCCACAAGCTCCCCCCCACGCCTCTGAGGGGCCTCTCCTCCTGCCCCTCCCTGTTGCCAGCCCTGCCATCCCCCTCCCTCTCTCTCTCTCTCTTGTTTTCTCTCCCTCTGTCTCTCTCTCACATTCTTTCTCTCATTACATCTCTCTCTCTCTGCATGTATAAATACACATGCATACGCAGATGTATGTGTTTATATACACATATATGTCCCTGTATGCACAAAGATCGCCCCTTCCTCATGGTCCTTGGAGGGGGAACGGACGGGTCGAATGTGGGCTTGCGGAACTGTGGTGCTCTGTTGGTCACGGAGGCTGTTGAGTAGCGGGTGTGGCGTTGGACACGGGAGCTGTGGAGTAGAAAAGGTAATTTCAAGTTAGGCTTTGGGATGATGCTTGGTGAGTAGCGGGTGTGGTGTTGGACGCGGAGGCTGTGGAGTAGGAGGGAAATGTTAAGGTAGGCTTGAGGAAGGTGCTTGCTGAACAGCGTGTGTGTTGGACATGGATGCTGTTGAGTAGAAGGGGTTACTTCAAGATAGGCTCGGGGAAGGTGCTTGGTGAGTTCCGGCTGTGGTGTTGGACGCGGAGGCTGTGGAGTAGGAGGGCAATGTTAAGGTAGACTTTAGGGTGCTTGTTGAGCAGCGGGTGTTGGACACGGGTGCTGTTGAGGAGAAGGGTAATTTCAAGTTAGGCTCGGGGATAGTGCTTGGTGAGTAGAGGCTGTGGTGTTGGACGCGGAGGCTGTGGAATAGAAAGGTCAGCTCGAATCAAGCTTGAGGGGGGCGAATAACGGGTGTGTTGGACACGGAGGCTGTTGAGTAGAACGGCACAGTAGCTTCAAATTAAGCTTGTGGTGGGTGCATGGCGAGTAGAGGATGTGGTGTTGGACGCAGAGGCTTTGGAGCAGAAGTGTCATTTTGAGTTCTGCTTGCGGCGGGCGCCTCTTAAGTAGTGGGTGTGGTGTTGGCACGGGAGCTGTTGAATAGAAGGGTCAGTTCAAGTTAGGCTTGGGGAAGGTGCGTGGTGAGAAACGAGTGTGGCGTTGGACACGGAAGCTGTGGAGGAGAAGGGTCATTCAAGATTAAGCTTGGGGAGGGTGCTCGTTGAACGCCGGGCGAGGTGTTGGACGTGGAGGCTTTGGAATAGAAGGTCATTTCGTATCAGGCTTGGGGGGGTTGCTTGTTGAGTAGCGGGTGTGTCGGACACAAATTTTTGACTAGAACGGCAATTCACAATTAGGCATTGGAAACTTGCTTTTTGGGTAGCGGGCGTGGTGTTGGACACGGAGGCTGTTGAGTAGAGGTGTATTTTCAAGTTAGGTTTGGAGAAGCTGCTTGTTGAGTAGCGGGTGGGGTGTTGGACTTGGAGGCACTGGGGTCGAAAGGAAATCCCGAATCAAGCTTGGAAGTGGCTTTCTGAATAGCGGGTGCGGTGTTGAACTCGGAGACTGTGAAGTATACGGGGAATTCAACATTAGTTGTGGGGAGGGTGCTTATCGACTAGCGGGTGTAGTGTTGGACGCGGAGACCCTTGAGTACAGGGGCTACTTGAAAGAAAAGCTTTGGGAAGGTGCTTGTTGAGTAGCGGGTGTGGTGTTGCACATGGAGGCTGCTAAACAGAAAGGGACATGCACGTTAGGCTACGGGAAGATGCTTGTTGACTAGCGGGTGTGGTGTTGGTCACGGAAGCGGTAGAGTAGAAGAGCAATTCCAAGTTAGGCTTGGGGAGGGAAACCATATAGCTTCCCGAAGTGACTATCGGCCTGACTCAAGACGTTTGTCGTGATCTCGAAGGTAACGGCGACTCGTGTCCCAGCTGCGGCGGCCTTTCTCGCCTCCAGATGCCAGGTGAACATGATCAGTCTCTACATCACTCAAAGCAACAGACCCCTTCCGCATCATGTGACACGTGGCCTTGGAACCCTTGGACACGTCGGCCTTGGTCATCACATCGGCGGGCTCAGTAGATGGGGGAGTCACTTGACACAGGACCCCCGTTGTGAGAACGAGTCCCTGGGGATCGCTAGGTCGACAAAGGTCCGCCGATCCTCCTTCCGTCCCGCGCCGCGCAATTCCAAAACAGACAAACGAAAATGGACTCAACATCCGTAGCATGGACTCCGAAAAGCGGTTGATGTAGCTCACTGTTGCCACGAATACATAACGAACGTGGGGACCAGCGTGCTGCCTCCAGTCGGCCGTGGGGACATCTCCAAAACAGGTGTCGCGCAACAATCCGCCTATATCTCAAGACATGCTGCTTCCATAACCAAAACTTCCCGTTTCCTGGTCACTACTGAGCTGCTTGTGGCAGCTGCTTGTCCTTCCAAGGGTTAGTCTACCATCCAATGCTCTGCCAGACAGGCCGACAATTCTATTATTGATCATCCGACCATGCTGAAGCTTCTCATTCGTCATATTGCCACTCGCTGTCGGTCTTCCAGTTAGACCGCTGTCGTTGAAACTGTGATGCGACATGATCATTGTTGTCCGTCAAGGTTCTGCTCGCTGCCTTACTCCAAGGGTCTGACTTGGCCCAATCGCCAACCTCATTCTAGCCAGTCTCGTGACCTGGTGCCGGGGTATCAGGGAAGGCCTCTTGCTTCGTAGTTCTAGGGGCCACTAGCGGAGGAGTCGCGGGAGCCGTGCTTTCTGTACCGGTCCTGAGCATCTGAGCAACTCTGCCCGCGATCCTGTCCACGCCCGAATCTGATTACTATCGTAGTGTATCGTCCACTGCGCCGCCTACTGATGCGGCCTGCTGTTCAGAACTCATCTCCACTCGGTACTCTGCACCCGTATGCCTGCCCAGCCCGCCCTCGCCGTAGATCGGTGAGTCAGCCCGCAGTGCGTCCTCCACAGAGATGTCGCCGCAAACTGCTCGGGGAACAACGCTCCGCTGCCACTGTGCACACGGAGGGGTCAGACGGACATCGCAGAGCGTCTTGACTAGGAAACCGTGGCTTGAGCCACAACGTCAACAGTACATGCAATACACACATTGCACACTGCAGCACTGTCAAAGATGTGAGGTCGGGACGAAAGGGAGCAAGACGCACTCAGAGGGAGCTTGTTGAGTAGCTGCTGTGGCGTCGGGCACTGAGGCTGTGGAGTAGAAAAGGTTATTTCAAATGAAGCTTGGGGGGGTGCTTGTTGAGTAACGGGTGTGCTGTCGGACGCGGAGGCTGTGGGGTAGAAGGATAATTTCAATCTAAGCTTGGGGGAAGGGGGAGGGGATGCTTGTTGAATATGGGGTGTGGTAGTTGACGCGGAGGCTGTTCAGTAGACGGGTGTGGTGGTGGACGCGGCGAGAGATGAATAAACGCACTTGGGTTGAGAGATTGTGGGCAAGAATGCGCCGAAGAACCTGGACCAACAAAGCGGCTGCGTTGGCAGCCTGTTGGAGGGTCCCCGCTGGGACACTGCAACAGGCCGCCAATGATGAATACTAAGGGCTATGTCTCCATATGTATTTATGTATACACTTGGAAATTGAAATATCGGCATACACATACTCTACATATCGTTATCTCTCTCTTTCTCTCTCTCGGGCTCTCTGTCTCTCTCTCTCTTTCTCTCTCTCTCTCGGGCTCTCTCTCTCTCTCTTTTTCTCTCTCTCTCTCTCTCTGTCTCTCGGGCTCTCTCTCTCTCTCTCTCTGCCCTTTACCCTGCCTCCCCCACTTCTTGGAACAGCTCGCGCTCATCCTCTCCTCGGTGCCCGGACCACCGCGGCTGCCGAGCTCGCGATGACCGCGCCGAACACGCCGACGAGGCCAACAGGCTGCCTCGGGATCTCGTGCCCGCTTCCTGTCCGCTCGCAATGCCATCCAACAGGAAAGGTGCAATGCGCAGCCGCTCGCTCAATCAGCCGCTCCAGATGACACGGGCGGCAAGGTCAGGTAACCTGCCATCTGCCTCGTGCTCTCGGTCCCCCCTGGGCGCCTCCCGGACATCGCGCTGCGCTACATTCACACACGGACGCTGGTAGATCACGGGCCAGGAAGGCAAAAGCAAGGAGTCCCGAAAGAACAGACGACGAAATCCAACGCAAGATGTGAACGCCACGCCTACAAGGCTACGTGCCCAACGATCCGTGCCAAGCCGCTGCTACGCTGCTGGGAAGAGGCCCCGACTGATGTCGACAGCTCCAGGCGAGAAACAGTGAGACGGGAGCTACAGACACAGCTCTTGTGGATCCCATGAGGATCGCTGCAAGCAAACATACGAAAATTGTTACGATTACAATTTATTATGATTGCAAATGGAAATTGGATGAGAGAAAGTGCCAACTCATCCGCTTTTACGGGCGTTTCTGCGCCCGATCTCCCAGGCTTCACCCGCATCCTCCTTCGCACCTGCTGCCAGTCTCCGTTCGTGCGCCAGCAGCTCTCAGCTCAGATGGGCATTGGCCCTGGTGGACTTCAGCATCATCTCTTGTGGCGGTCTGCACTCTTCGTCCACGCGAAAGACCGACCCTTCGACAAGAGTGACCCTAGGTACGCGGACTACCCGTCGATGCATGCGATGCAGGAGCGGCGGCCTGCGTGTTTTGGTTCGGGCCCCCTGCGACCTCCCAAAGCCGCGCACTAAAGGTTACTCCGGCGAAGGGTCACTCTCACGTGCAACCGAATTCCCCCTGGGAGGGACACCTGAAGCCACGGCGGGGCCCAACCAAAGGTGTGCGGGGAAGGGGGGCGCAGCGGGGGGGTGCACAGAAAATCCACTCGCCCACAAAAACATGTGCCGCGTGCGGTGCTCACCTGCGTTGAATGTGCTCTCGGAGTCCAGGGGGAATCCCTCGCTGCCATCCGCGTCTGCTGGCACGATGGGTGCCAGGGCTGCCCACTATCACGCGGCTGCGGCGCGCGGGTGCGCTCCCCTCGTGCCCGAGCGTGCTAGAGGTGGCGGGCTGGCCTGTCTGAATGAAAATCGGACCTCTGCAGTTGCCAAGCCCTTTGGAAGGTATCGCGTGGGGCTGATTGTCGCAAGTTCCATGTGGATGAGAGCAGCCTCACTTAAGCAACCTCTGCGCATCCAGGGTGCACGCAGAGCACGTCCACAACCGTACGTTGAGTATGCAATCACCCCGCTCAAATAGGACAATTTCGGTTCGCCCACCTTGCCACCATGTACAAGATTGCGTGCTTCCGTGCGCGGATCCTGCATGATCTGGGGCACATCCACAGCACCTGGGCGATCAAACACGGACGCACACGTGCAGAGCGAAGAGGACGGAGAGTCTCACGAAGACAGGGCACTACGAGACTGACATTCAGAGGAAGTGGCGTAGTCTAGTTGTCAACGCCACTTCAAGCACTGAATGCCGCAAGAGCACACGTGATACAAACATGCTTCCGATCATCGCAAGGATGACGGGAGGAGGGCGACGCGACGACGAGGAGGCGAGGAGGAAGGAACGGACGAGGGAAAGCAGGAAGAGCAGCATGGAGGAGGAGGAGGAGGAGGAGGAGGAGGAGGAGGAGGAGGAGGAGGAGGAGGAGGGAAGATGGATCAAGGATGTGTGTGTGTGCTTTCCGTGCCTGAGCTCGGCGCCAGCCGCTACATGGGGCTGGGCCCGTGGGGCCGACACGGCCACTCCCCGGGCGAGGAAGCTGTCCTCGGGCAGGTTCGCGGCAGTGGCCGCACGGCCGCGGCTGGGGGGGGGGAAAACTATCGCGAATTTTTCGCGGTGGTTTTCTTCTTCCAGCCGCGGCCGCGGCCGCGGCTGCGGCTCTGGCTGTGGCTGCGGCCGCGGCGGGGAGGGGGAAACTATCGCGAATTTTTCGCGGTGGTTTTCCTCTTCCAGCCGCGGCCGCGGCCGCGGCTGCGGCTGCGGCTGCGGCCTGTGCGCCAAAGCACGGATCGTGCCGCTTTTTCGATCGCCAGGTCGCTCCGCACTGCGCAGCCGACTCTGGCAGCCGACTCTGGGCAGCTGGCGGCGCCCAGCCCGGAACGCCCGCCGGCTGCCGCCCCGCTGCTCGCCGAGCAGGCGTCGGGAGCGGCCAAGAGGGGGGTGTCCAAGGGGGGGGGGGGGGGTGTCCAAGGGGGGGGCCCTGGCTCCTGATCCGCCGTACTTTGGATGATTTTCCGACCTAAAATTGCGTCGGAAATCGACGCCAAAGGAGCCTCAGGGGCGGAAATCGACGCTCAAAGGGGCCACAAAAGTAGGGCGGAAATTTCCGCCCTACTTTCGAAATCGCCCAAAGTAGGGCGGATCAGGAGTCAGGGGGGGTGCAAATCATGACCGGCGGCATGTGCGCGGCCCGGGGCCCGGGACGTAACAGAATAAGGAGAGGCGCCATGAAATCTGAGGCAAAATCCCCCCCCCTAGTCATGACCCCCCTAGTCATCCCCCCCCCTAGTCATCACCCCCCCTAGTCATCACCCCCCTCTTTTCCGCTCCCGAAGGTGTGCGCGCTGCCTGCCATCCGCGCGACTGTAGGCCCCAGCGGTGCCTCTCTGCGGGTGAGGGCGCCGCGTGTGGAGCAGGGCCCGACCGTCCTGGCATTCGCACAGGCCTGCCACGACATGCTCTTGGAGCCCCAGACGCTCTAAGAGCATAAGCAGTGCTCTCAGACCATAAGCCCGATGTGCTATCCTGGCGAAGGACCCACCCATATGCAGTTGTGGGTACCATGATTGTGAATCTTTTCTTCGGTAACGCGTTCTATGGGGCCACGAAGCGCTGTACTGGATGGGGGGGAACGCGTGCGGGCGGTAGCACTGGGGCCGTCGATGGAGCTCCCTATGGGGCCACGAAGCGCTGTTCGGGGTGGGGGGGACGCATGCGGGCGGTAGCAAAGGGGCCTTTGGTGAAGCTCCGTATGCGGCCACCAAGCGCTGTACTAAGTGGGGGGGCACATGCGGGCGGTAGCCCTGGGGCCGTCGGAGGAGCTCCCTACAGGGCCACGAAACGCTGTACTGGGTGTGGGGGACGGATGCGGGCGGTAGCACTGGGGCCGTCGGTGGAGCTCCCTATGGGGCCACAAAACGGTGTCTGCACTGGGTCGGTGAAAATGACAAATTGGGCTTCCGGGACGCATGCGGGCGGTTCCACTGGGGGCTTCGGTGGAGCTCCCTATGCGGCCACGAACCGTATGAAGGGTGTGCCAACTTGGGTTTCTGGGACGCATGCGGACGGTCCCACTGGAGGCTTCGGTGGAGCTCCCGATGGGGCCACGAAGCGCTGTACTGGGTGGGTGAAAATGACAAATTGGGCTTCCGGGACGCATGCGGACGGTCCCACAGGGGGCTTCGGTGGAGCTCGCCATGGGGCCACGAAACGCTGTACTCGGTGGGTGAAAATGCCAAATTGGGTTTCCGGGACGCCCTATGGGGCCACGAAGCGCTGTACGGGGTGGGTGAAAATGCCAACTTGGGCTTCTGGGACTCATGCGGACGGTTCCACTGGGGGCTTCGGTGGAGCTTCCTATGAAGCCACAACGGTGTACTGGGTGGACGAACATGCCAACTTGGGTTTCCGTGACTCATGCGGACGGTCCCACTGGGGGCTTCGGTGGAGCTTCTTATGAAGCCACAAAACGGTGTACTGGGTGGATGCAAATGCCAACTTGGGTTTCCGGGACGCATGCGGACGGTCCCACTCGAGGCTTCGGTGGAGCTCCCTACGGGGCCACGAAACGCTGTACTGGGTGGGTGAAACGAAGGGAGGGAGGAGGAGGGGGGAGGGGGAAGAGGGAAGGAGGGAACGCGGGGACTGTCTCTTCAAAACGAGGACCCAAGACCACAGGATGGTTGGGAATGACAACAAGCCAGCCTCAGCCAGAAATGCTCCAAGAACAGTTCGTGCAGACCACTAAAGGCTCTGAGAGCATTCCCTGGTGGGCCTATAGGCAAGCCCGGACGCTTCGCCACTGCTCGACCACGTCGAGAGCTCGGCGCTTGCCACGGCGGCAAGCCCTTCGCTGGCTGGGCCACCGGGCGACAACCCTGGGCGGCCACGAAGGCTGACGGGCGGCCGCTGGGCGAAGACCCGGGACACCCCAACCAACGACCGAGACGGCCAAAAGGCAGCAACAGAAACCCGGCCAACGAACGAGCCGGCTGGGAATAGTCCGGAAAACTCAGCCAGGGAAGGGGACTGCGCGAGGCGGCGATGGACCGCCACTGGGCGAAGTCCAGCAAATCCACCCAACCATGTCCAAAGAAGCAGGAGCCCCGTTTTGCAAGCACTGTTCGGGGGACATGTCTCTGCACAGGATTACGATTCTAGGCGCTGTGTTAGCATGGCGGTTGTACTACCTTTTATAAGGCGTTCTCAACCATCCGTACATATCTAGTCTATCCTATTATAATATGTCCACCTGGTTTGAGGTAGGCCACGTTCTGATGAGGTATCCACCTGGCTGTTCGCAGCGATTCGCAATTCATGCGCACTGTGACGCCACGGCTCCTCGACGCCACAACATCCCATCCCGTCTCCTTGTCCGCCAGCAACAAAAGAGGCCTCTGTCAACATGACTCCGCCAGCCCTGGTGGCCGTCGCTCTCGCGCACAGCTTCGCAGCCACGACGCGCACGACACGAGACACAAACCTTTTTGTTTGTTTGTTCCGTGTTGTCAATGCAGGATGGCCAGCTCGTGGCTTGTCAAAGGCGGGCGAGATACTCGAGAAGGCGCGGCCACAGACGCTAACAGTCTGGCCTGCGAGTGCCATGCATGAATTACCTCACCTAGCATCGTTGGACAAACCCGTCTGCAATGCTGATCGCATTGCCTGGCGTGGCAGGGTCTTCGAAAGGGGAAGGCACGATCACCGTCGCAAAACATGGACAGCTCATTACAAAACCCGCCAAGTCGGGCTGCACAGTTGAATCCAGGTCCTGCCCTCCGAGCATCTGATGAGATTGGCTGCGAAAACCAACATGTGCGCTCGGTGCCTCTAATTCGCCACCCGCAACGGCGCGCTACAGGGGTGGCATGCGGCCGGGAAAAACGTGTCGATAATCTTGCCCTCTCGAGACACAGAGAACGTTGACCCCCTGACGTGCTTGTTTAATGCTTGGATGTTTTTTTTTTGTTCTGTTGAAGAAAGGCGGGCGTCAGAAGTCCTTGGACGGGAACATGCATAATGATGGTCGCCAACGGCGGGACAGCCCCCGCCCGGCCATGCGTGGACCACATCGTGGCGCCAACGACCACCATTATTCTAAGGTGCCCACTACCGTGCGCAGCAGTCAAAATAAAAAATGCCCAGGGACGGCAGGGGGCTGGTCGCCAACGACCACCACTCCTCTAAGATGCAGGCCGCCATGCGAAGAATTCAAAGTCTGTGTCATTGGGCTGGAGCACGCAGAGTAGTAGCCGCCAACGGCGGGACAGCCCCCGCCCGGCAACGCGTGGACCACATCGTGGCGCCAACGACCACCGTTCTTCTCAGATGCCCACTGCCGTGCGAAGTATTCAAAATCAGAGTGAGGGGGACGAACGGTCATTCACTGTCCCTGGGTGCGTGGCTGAAGTGGGGATCCGTGGTGAGGATTATGCTTGTTGTGTTGTTGTTGTTGTTGTTGTTGTTGTTGTTGTTGTTGTTGTTGTTAGTGTTGAACTTTCACTTCTGGAGAATAATTATTGTTGACCCCCCCCGTCCGGTGCACATAATTTGTTCTATTGAAGTGACCATCCCAGGGCTCGCACCGTGTTTTTTATCAAGGAAACTCTTGAGGGTCAAGCTGTGTTGTTGGCCCCTGGTTTACAACAACAACGGCTCCCGCCTGATACTTCCTCACAATTGATTAACAATCGCGCTCTCGCTTTGGACTTACTTGCAATTTACCACCGGATCGCGGCTCACGCTTTATATTTCATCACAATGTATTGAAGAGTTGCGCTCTCGTTTGGGACATCCTCGCAACTTACCACCGAATCGCGGCTACCGCCTGATACTTCCTCACAATTCATTCAGATGCCGCTCCTCGACATTCAGGAATCGCGCTCCGGCTATATATTGCCTGGCGGTTCAAGCAGAATTTACGCTTCAACGACCCGCCCGCTCCACCCGCCCGTCTGGGCCCGCCCGCCCGACCAGCCCGTTAGGGACTGCAGTCGCCGCTCGCTGCCCTTCGCCCGCCTTCGATACCCCTCGCTGCACGTGCTGGTTCCGCGGTCGCCTTCGCTCGCTGCCCTTCGTGGCCCCGTTGCTTCGTTTTGTGGCCCCGTCGCTGCCCAT